TTATAGTCTCTGAGATCCAGGCGTCAAACAAGACGGACAGACGGACAGACGGTCAGACGGACAGACAGACATGGCTCTATCGACTCGGCTATTGATGCTGATCAAGAATATATATACTTTATGGGGTCGGAAACGTTTCCTTCTCTGCGTTACACACATCCACTTTTACCACAAATATAATATACCCCTTAACTCTTTTTTGAGTACGGGTATAATTAGTGATCATACTAAATAATTACATGTGCATTTTTCACTTTTTCTATTTTCATATAAATACCGGTAATTTTATGTAGCAATAACATTAGTACTCAATATTGTTCTACCCAACACTTTTCTCAAGGACCCAACCCCACTTTTTCTGATAGATTTGGCGCTTTGAAATTCTTGTATGCAAATTTTTTTCTACGGCAGAACACTTAAGTGTCTTACATATAGTTGTAATGAACTTTGCTATTTTGAAAAGCTGTATAAGTGCGCTAATTAGACGTCGTTTAAAGTATTTATCATTAAAAATATATGCATAAACGACTAAGCTAAAATTGGTTGACCAAACCTCCAAAAATCACATTTTACAGTTTTGAACACACTAGTCAACACTAGAATTAGGCTGTGGCCCAAAATAACTTTTTCTGATAGATTTCGGGGTTTAAAAATGTTTAACGAATTATGGTTTTTATACCCGCACTCAAAAAAGAGTTCAGGGGTATAATAGATTTGTGGTAAAAGTGTTTGTGTGTAACGCAGAGAAGGAAACGTTTCCGACCCCATAAAGTATATACATTCTTGATCAGCATCAATAGCCGAGTCGATATAGCCATGTCTGTCTGTCCGTCTGTCTGTCTGTCTGTCTGTCCGTCTGTCTGTCCGTCTTGTTGAGCGCCTAGAACACAGAGACTATAAGAGCTAGGGCAACCAAATTTGGTTTCCAGACTCATGTGATATCACACTTCTACAAGTGTAGCTCAAAATTTCGCCCTGCCCCCTTCCGCCAACACAAACAACGAAAATCTGTGGCAGGCACATTTTTAATGATACGATAAAACTAAAAACGCAGTATCGTAGAGAATACCCATATCTACTAGATTGCTGAATCTGAATTAGATCGGATCATAATTATAGCCAGAATGAAGAAATTAATTTTCAGTTGCTTCCTCTGCCGACTCTTGTCAGCGATCACGCTACTCATTTTCCTTCTCGCTCGCACACTCTGCCGCGTTCAGTGTACGAGCAACCCCTAGCGGAGGAGATGTAGAATCTAAATGGTACATGTATAATCTACATGTTAGATGTAGAATATACATTGTAGATGTAGATAGCAGATGTAGCAAAAAAAATGTAAAATGTAAATTCTAAAATTCTAAAAAAATCATATGCTCAAAAATGTATATACTGACTGAGTACGGGTATAAGTAGAGTCGCGTCCAGAAGCGATTCGCACGTTCCTTCTCGTTTTTTATGGTGTAGTTTTTTTTTAAAGAATTTTTTCAAATCTGGAATTTTTTTAATGTTTTTTTCAGAGGTAGTCCTTCTATTTGTCACATAACTTAAGTATCTTATATCGGGTTGCATAGACCTTTGCAGTTCTGAAAAGCTAACAAATACAGCTATAAATCCTACCCAGACCTTTTGTATCTGCAGCTTAACGCCTGAAAGATATTAAGCTTTCAAATTCAAATTTCATTATTTTTTGTGGTATTTTTTTCGAAATTTTGATTTCAAAAACTCGGGAAAAGTCGAAAAAAAAAATAATTCTTGGCCAACATTTTTGGTTTTAGATAGACGCATTAATTAGGCGTTGTCTAAGGTATTGCTCATCAAAATCTATGGATAAACGGTCAACTTGCAGCCGTTTGACCAAAACGACTCAAAACTAATTTAACCTGAAATTAGTGCTTTTATTTTTCACATAACTTAAGTATCTTATATCTGGTTGCATAGAACTTTGCAGTTCTGAAAAGCTGACAAATGCAACTATAAATCATACCCAGACACTTTGTATCTGCAGCTTAATGCCTGGAAGATATTAAGCTTTCAAATTCAAATTTCATCATTGAAATTAGACTCAACATGGCAGATCTTATGCGTTTGAGTAATGTGAATGTTGTTATTCAGAAAGAAAAACTCGGGTCCCCAACTGCCTGCTCTGATGACTGTAACATGGCTGCACGTGACAGTTTGGGTGTGATGGCTGGTGGTGGCATTGATTTGACTGATTTGGCGCAGGAATCGGATCGGGATAAGTTTGAGGGAACACATTTGATAAACGGTAAGTTTAAAAAGTAGTTAGTTACAATAGTATAATTAAAACTGGTACGTTTCATATGACCATATATTTAAAAATTTAGTTAAAGATCTGCCATGTTGAGTCTAATTTCAATGATGAAATTTGAATTTGAAAGCTTAATATCTTTTTAGGCGTTAAGCTGCAGATACAAAAAGTCTGGGTCCGATTAATACTGCATTTGCCAGCTTTTCAGAACTGCGAAGTTCTGTGCAACCAGATAAAGGATATTTAAGTTATGTGAAAAATAGAAGCACAACCTCTGAAAAAAACCATGAAAAAAAGAGAAGGAACGTGTGAGTCGCTTCTGGGGACGCGACTCTACTTATACCCGTACTCAGTCAGCATATACATTTTTTAGCGAATAATTATTTAGAATAAAAACAATAAAAAATTTTTCAATTTACATTTTTTTGCTACATCTGTTATCTACATCTACATATACTATGTATATATACATCTAACATGTTTATTCTACATGTACCATTTAGATTCTACATCTCCTCCGCTAGGGGTTGCTCGCGCACTGAACGCGGCAGAGTGTGCGAGCGAGAACGAAAATGAGTTGCGTTGTCGTTGGCAGGAGGGGGCAGGAGAAGCAACTGAAAATTAATTTCTTCATTCTGGCTATAATTATGATCCGATCTGATTCAGATTTGGCAATCTGGTAGATATGAGCATTATCTACGATACTGCGTTTAGTTTTATCGTATCTTTAAAATTGTGCCTGCCACAGATTTTCGTCCTTTGTGGGGGCGGAAGGGGGCGGGGCGAAATTTTGAAATACAGTTGTAGCAGTATGATATCACATGAGTCTGGAAACCAAATTTGGTTACCCTAACTCTTATAGTCTCTGAGATCCAGGCGCTCAACAAGACGGACGGACGGACAGACAGACATGGCTATATCGACTCGTCTATTGATGCTGATCAAGAATATATATACTTTATGGGGTCGGAAACGTTTCCTTCTCTGCGTTACACACATCCACTTTTACCACAAATCTAATACCCCTTAACTAATTTTTGAGTACGGGTATAAAAAGAAGCACCACCTCTGAAAAAAGCTTTTAAAATATTTGATTTTTGTGAGGTATTTTTTTTTACAAACAAATATATATATATATTTGTGTAAGGTGCGTTTTGATTATTTTAAATTAGATAAAAATATTAACCTTAGCTAAACCTTCTGATATTTTACATTTTTTTGCTACATCTGATATCTACATCTACAATGTATATTTTACATCTGACATGTCGATTATAGATGTACCATTTAGATTCTACATCTGATCCGCTAGGGGTTGCTCGCGCACTGAACGCGGCAGAGTGTGCGAGGGAGAAAGAGAATGAAAAATGTTTCTGGCTGGGGAGGCGGTGGAAGCAACTGAAAATTGAATTTCTTCATTATGGCTATAATTATGATCCGATCTGATTTAGATTCGGCAGTCTGGTAGACATGGTCATTCTCTACGATATTTCCATTTTCTCGTATCTTTAAAAATGTGCCTGCCACAGATTTTCGTCATTTGTGGCGGCGGAAGGGGGCATGGCGAAATTTTGAACTACACTTGTAGCAGTGTGATATCACATGAGCCTGGAAACCAAATTTAGTTGCCCTAGCTCTTATAGTCTCTGAGATCTAGGCGGACAGACAGACAGACAGACGGACAGGCAGACATGGCTATATCGACTTGGCTATTGATGCTGATCAAGAATATATATACTTTATGGGGTCGGAAACGTTTCCTTCTCTGCGTTACACACATCCACTTTTACCACAAATCTAATATACCCCTTAACTCTTTTTTGAGTACGGGTATAAAAAATCGTCTTGACACTGACAAACATGAATTGTATTTAAAAAGACCGGGTAACAGATATTGATAGATCAATCCACGCACCGGTACTTGCTCGGCGTTTGTGTGTTTCTCCTTATTAGTTTCCGAGATCTATGCGATTAGACTACTCTCGGTTAATGCTCTTGGAATACCAGGGCGTAATTAACAAGCGGCACGGCTCAGAAATGTACAACAAATATGCATATTATACTAGGGTATCAAGACTAGAATCAAAGACTACAATAGTAAGGTGCTGCATGAGGAACAAGTGCCCATTCAATTTCGTTTAACGCTTCATGGCACGGGCGCGCGGGGCTTTTACTTAAATTTTCTTTTAGGCTCATAAATGCCCCATAAATGGCTACGTCAATGCCACGGTCAGCGCTGCACAGTGGGGACTCAGCAGAAAAGAGTTTGGACGAGTCAACAAATTTTATTAGCGCTTTGGAAAAAATGAAAATTTCCAGAGCTTTCACACATTTTATTTTGGAAATAAATTTAGTTAAGGAGATACAAGAACTCAAAATTGAAAATTGTTTCAGTGTTAAAAAATTTATTGAACTCTTATTCACTTATTAATTTAGCAAGCTGAAATAGCTTTTTGTTCGCTCATGCAACATCTTGGTATTGTTTTGTCTTTGATATAAGCCAATGTCCAATGTATTATGTGTATTCACAACGGGGACTCAGCCGAAAAGAGGTGGCGCTCCCTTTGTATATAGAGCGTAGCGCAAAAACCCTCCATAGAACAGTTTCTTGGTGCTTATGCAGTATCTTGATATTGGCCTTTGAATAGCCTTTGCTAGAATGCTTCAAATAGGAAGTATGTACATCATGTAAGAGCTCTAAATTTCTGAATTTGGTCACTAGATTACTCACTTCCATCATCCACTCAGCAACAATTTTACGCATTGCTGGAGTTATATCTCTTTGCACAGTCATAAAATATGTCTCGACTACATGTTGGTATTTTTCCTCAGCTTTCAACGCATTCTCCAGACATCGATCAGATTTAAAAGTAGGATCTCCAATAGCCTTATTGACATAATCTGTACCGAGTGAGTTGGATTTAGTCTGCCACTCTTGAAGTCGAAGAACCGCGGGCTCCTTGCTACAGCTTCGAGTGAGCCTTTCAACAGACGCTTTCATACCATGTTCTTGAAGTTGGAGTGATTGATTTTGTGTCCTTAATGATTCTGCTGATGCATATATATAAACAATTTCACTCCTTTTGCATACGACGGAATTAGTAGAGATCTTGGAAAGACTAGAAGCTGCGAGTGTGTTTGCATCGTTACTATCACTAGCAGAAGTTATAGAGGAGCATATCGAAGCGAAATCAGTCCTGATTTTGGGCACAGCAAGCGTTTGTTGTTTGTTGATGCGATACAATGACAAATCTGAATCACATACAAGACTTTCCGAGCACAATAGATCCATTTTTTTTGCATTTAGAACTATCACTTATTCTGTAGTTAGCTTTTTTTCCTTTAACTACTCACATACGTGTATGTTTAATATGAACTTCGTTTATATTTATTCATAAAGAATAAGGTCTGATCTAAAAAATCTTATATTTGATTAAGTTGGTACATTCACAGTTTTCCACAATGACGTGTTCATATACATACAAATATGTTAATTAAGAATTCATTTTATTAAGTTTATTCAATTTTTGTATATAACAGTGTTAACAGCAACAAGTACAGACAAAATCAGAAATCAAACAGTTTTCTGTTTGAAGATAAAGTAGATCACGAGTAGGGTAAAATGTACACACATTAATCTAAAATATATAAGCATATTTTTTATTAGTTGGATTTTAGAATTTCAAATTAATTTTTAAAGCCACAATTGGACCAAATTTAAGGTGTGCCTTTCACCTTTCACACGTTTCAACTGTTCTGTCATGCACATCGACACTATCGATTGAACAATCGAGATACACCCACAGCAAATAGTAACGGGATTCCTGAAATGGATAAGGCAGATGAAAATTCAACAAAACTCTTGAAATGGTATAGAACCTGTTTGATTATGGTCGTATTCCACAACATTTAAAAACCAATCTTCGTCTGCAATTTGGCGAGTTTTGGCGTTAATAGAGCTAACATCCAAAAGAGATGTAATATGCATTAAAGCTTATACAAGATGATATAACATGATAAATCAACGTATGTACATTTAAGATAATTTCCCGTTGCCCCTTATTGAGGACTGTCTGGAGTTTTTAGAAAACAAGTGCTCTTTTTCCATTATAGACTTTAAAAGTTGGCTTAGAAGAAAAATCAGTTACGTATACATCGTTTGTGACACCGCAACGACAGTATGTGTTCTTAAAAATGACCTTCGGGCTAAATAATGGATTCGCTATTTTTCAGAGATTTATGTCAGAGTTGCTTATAGCCTATTCCCACAGGCTACCATCCATTTCGGGTATGGTCGGTAAGGTTTTGCCGTTCCGAATATTTCCAAGTTATTCCACCATCCATCTGAGATGTTCCAAATTCGCACGTTTCTAAGCGATAATTATTCGATAATTTTCAAAAGCAGCCATAAATATTTGACATTCACAACGAATGGTCTTTGTTTCCCAGCCGAGAAATATTCAGTATTTATAGTCAGTATTACAGCCTTAAAGAAAATCTTGTTATATACTCTCTGCACACTGAGTCCATCCTGGGGGAACGGTGGGAATTTTTGAAAGATGTGAAACACCGATTCACATTGACACCATCCACCATCCACCATCCACCATCCATGAGAAACAGCTGTTGCTCACAATTGCGTGCGGTGAAAATTTGTTTACTTTAATTAAAATGAATATAAATAACATTTCAATGGTCGTGAATGTGATTCAGCAGCAAAACGTATTCTTGCACAAGCTAATCATGTTGTTGGACATGGACGATGATGATGAGGATAACTTTGACGAGGAGGAGATAATAGAATGGATATCTGTTTTGAAAACACTGAAGCCCGGAAGGTTGTGGTCATTTGTGAGTGCTTCTAATAAATGCAACCAATGTTAAAAGTAAAAATATATATGTTATGTTTTTCAGAAGCGGTTCGGTACATTTTGGGAGAAGGATGTACCCGAAAACAACGAGGCGTTTTTTAAGGAAAGTTTTAGGATGGAGAGATCCTGATTTTCTCTGTTGGTTACTCGCTTGGAAGTGCTACGGAAGAAGGACACAAACTGCCGAGCTGCAATTCCTCTGGAGAAGCGTATCGCCATAACTTTATATACTTTGGGATCTTCTTCTGAGTACCGAACAGTCTGTAGGCTTTTCGGAGTGTCAGCCAACAGCGTCTGCAATATCCTGCATGAGTTTTGGAGAGCATTCATCAACGAATTCTCAGAGGAATACATGTGCAAAAACTATCTCACTTCAGAGAAAATTGACGAGTGTGTCCAAGGATTTGAAGAAATTGGGTTTCCTCAGTGCCTAGGTGCAATTGGTAATAATGCAATAAAATCATCCATAATATATGTATATACATATATGTAAATTAATTTCATCACTTAATTTTTATGTTAGATGGATGTCACATCGAAATAAAACCACCTGCAGCTGAGGCAGTCGACCACCACAATTACAAAGGCTGGTATTCAACAGTATTATTTGCAATGGTAGACTACAGGTAAGATATTCGCACCTAAACAAATATTTTCAAGTTATTTACTTAATTATTAAAATATTTAATTTCAATCTACTTCAGATATAGATTTACGTATGTAAACATCGGATCCGCAGGAAGATGCAACGACTCGATGATTTACCAAAAGTCAAGCCTTGGAAAGCGTATCGAAGAGTCAGCATTGCTTGAGGAAAAATCGAAGGAAATTAACGAAGTAAAGGTGCCAGTAACGCTGATTGGGGACTCGGCATTCAGATTCTCAAAGAAGCTTATGAAGCCATACCCTTTTTCTACAGCAGCGTCTTTAGAACAGCGCACTTTTAATTACAACCTTTCCAAAGCTAGGCGAGTTTTGGAAAATGCTTTCGGGCACTTAAAAGCCAGGTTCCGCATTATTGGAAAAGGCCTGGATAGTCATTATAAAAACAATAGTGCCATTATATTGTGCTGTTGCATTTTACACAACATGTTAAACATGCACAACAGCTCAATTAATGAAAGTTGGGAACTACCTTTAAGTGAGCAGAGAGAACAGCCCGATCGAAGCAATATTTCTGCTGATTACTATAATCATTCAGCAGAACAGATACGATCTGCAATTGCAACATATTGTGTAAATAGAATAAATTTAAATAATTAGTTTTAGTCATTTATTAAAATTACTTAAATTTAAACCTAATACTACTTAACCTACTACTACTGTTTATTTTCTCATAAAAATTGCATAAAATCCGTTTGAAATGTCGTCTGGGCTCGGATCAGCTCCTCGAGGAGATACTCCTGCCTCTTGTGGTGATCCTCCTGCTTTTTATTGTGTTCTTTCTGAGCAGCTAGGCGCTCTCTGGACACCTCTACGAGCGGAGCCACTACGCTATCCAGCTTGGTGCGCTTCTGTGGGGGCCCATTGCTCACAGAGAGTGCGCTGGAGCTGCAGGATCCGTCTAGGTCCACCTCGATCACGTCCGAAAAAAACTGATTAATATCTGCAATGAACATAACATAATGAACGTAATAAATACATCATTTTATTTAACTTACTCTCGTTATCCAGGGTGCTTTGCTCCAAGTTGTTTACTCGGAAGGCTCCTAAAAAGGCTTGCAGCTTCTCGAAATGCTGCCATCCAGAGGGAGCCCCTCCGCTTGGCCCCACTTTATTTTTTTCCATCCTGCAAAGTATGAAAATAAAATGGAATCAACAATTTATTGTTTACCAAATACAACAATATTTACCTGTGTTTTTTGGTCAAGTTTTCAACCTTCGTTCGCACTTCCGTCCATCCAACATCGAGACCACACCCCTCTTTCATGGTCTGGGCCATTTCCATATAAACGTGGGAGTTCTTACGGACTCCCCGCAAATCGTCTATTTTTTCCTGCCACAGGTCAATGAGCAGGTTCTCCATTTCTGTGGTCCACTTGACCCTTCCACTGGCTGTTTTCTTATGAGCTGCAATATTGTGATATATGGGTATTCAAAAATGATATCTCTGAAACTTACCACTGCCATTTGATGCTCCTTCCATTTTTCTTTGATATCTTTGGATTTTTTCCGTTTTTTGTTAGATCTGGTGCTTTTTTTGTTGTTTTTATTTATATTTTCCTGTCTGTCATTGTTTACATTTTCGTAGTGAATTCCGATTTTTTGATGTGAATGTCAAATATTTATGGTTGCATTTGACAATTATCGAAAAAATACCGAACAGAAACGTGCGATTTAGGAACATCCCTGGGAAATTTTCGGAACGGCAAAACCTTACGGACCATCCCAGAAATGGATGGTGGATGGTCCCCAGTGTGAAAAGGCTAATATGTTCATTATTTGCACTACCTAATGTACCTAATTGAAATCGACATGTATCTACACGCCGCTCACTGTAATAGACGTTTCAACTGTTCTTTCGTCTTTTCGGGTCGCACGTTTCTTTCTATCGCCTTTAACACTCGCTTTTTCGATCTATCACTCTCTCGCTCTCTATTCGTAGCATCGCGTAGGACACGGGCAATTCAATCCGTCTGCCCTACCATGCCTTCGCAATGGTCATGATCTGGTCTAGCACTTGCATGCCTTTGCAATCTTTCGAACTTTTCTCTCGTGGCATATATAAACACAAATCGCGGTCTATATATGCATCTAGCTTTCTTCTTTGTTTCACCTTCGCTATCGTTCTCTCCATCTATCTTTCTTTGGCTTGCATTAGGACACGGGCCATTCGGTTCGCCTGCCCTTAGAGAGTCTTGACGTAGCACTCGCACCTTACGCATCATCGCCTAATCAATTCGGCATATTTACTAAATGAACATATATGTATGTATATTTATCTATTCGTTACGTTTCATTATAAATCAAGGTGATACATTTGGTATCCTCCACTAAACAATTAGTGTTTAGGTAATTCAGTTGCGTGATCTCGTTTGTTATATCCCAGTGGTGAAGTAGAAAATAAAAAAAATTAATTGTATAAACTAAACTCTTAATTAAGCTCCAAAATCTCAACCGGCCTGTTCTCTTAAACTTAAGTTAAAGCGCTTTACGTAAGATATATGTAAGATAATTTCCCGTTGCCCCTTATTGAGGACTGTCTGGAGTTTTTAGAAAACAAGTGCTCTTTTTCCATTATAGACTTTAAAAGTTGGCTTAGAAGAAAAATCAGTTCCGTATACATCGTTTGTGACACCGCAACGACAGTATGTGTTCTTAAAAATGACCTTCGGGCTAAATAATGGATTCGCTATTTTTCAGAGATTTATGTCAGAGTTGCTTATAGCCTATTCCCACAGGCTACCATCCATTTCGGGGATGGTCGGTAAGGTTTTGCCGTTCCGAATATTTCCAAGTTATTCCACCATCCATCTGAGATGTTCCAAATTCGCACGTTTCTAAGCGATAATTATTCGATAATTTTCAAAAGCAGCCATAAATATTTGACATTCACAACGAATGGTCTTTGTTTCCCAGCCGAGAAATATTCAGTATTTATAGTCAGTATTCAATTCAGTTGCGTGATCTCGTTTGTTATATCCCAGTGGTGAAGTAGAAAATAAAAAAAATTAATTGTATAAACTAAACTCTTAACTAAGCTCCAAAATCTCAACCGGCCTGTTCTCTTAAACTTAAGTTAAAGCGCTTGTACTCTCGTAGAATAAATAAATTTCTTGAATTAGTCTTGTATTGAAAAGCAATCAATCAAATCGACTTTTGTGGATTTCAGAGCGCCTTGAAATGAAAAGTATGACTTTTTGCTGAAAAGTAAAACGCAAAGTGAATGTTAAAACCGGAGCCTGTCTGAAATACAAAAAGATCACGCGTTCTCTTTGTAAATGCAAATCGAAGACCCAGACTTGGCATCGCGTTCTGAACTCGAAGACTTGTGCGTGTTAACTGCATGATTTTTACTTTTTCTCAAAGGTTCAAACAGTCGACTTTTTTGGAGGAGCCCAAGCACCACAATGTCACAGACAAGGCACCAGCCCAAGATGAAAATTCCCAAGTTTGGTGGGAATTATTCAGAATTTTTAAATTTATTGGGAATATTTTCAAGCATAATTGATAGTGACACGTCTTTGAGCAACGTCGAACAATTCAATCATCTATTGAATTATTTAAAAAGGAAGCATTAGGTACTGTCAAGGCGTTCCAGGTGACAGATCAAAATTACTCCAACACTCTCGAAGCTCTAAATCAGGTATATGATGATGAGTGCCTCATTTTCTTTGATGGCGTATCTAGAATTTTGAGTTACAGGCGATACAGATTCCATCGGCAAGCTCTTTACGGTCGCTTATTAAAACGGTGTCTGCCATCTACGAGTCTTGACTACACTACCCGACACGATTTTTCCTCATGGAACAAAACTTTTTCTTAAAGATTTGGGGCTTAGGCCTAGTACTCAGATCCGAAAAAACATTCGTATGAAACCGATAAGAAATTTTTTCCGGCAAAAACTGGTTTCTTGGCTCTGTACGGAAGGCAGTACTCAGATCAACAAAAAAAAATCGGTATATACTAGAAAAGTATCCGAAGTATTTGCTTGTATTGCTGGTATGTTTCGACCCCCCTCGAAAGTTATATCGATTTCATATATATTGCCAGCAAACACGAAGCAAACATTGCAATATGAGAACAAAAAACCAAATGAAATATTTAAATAATGAAGACAAATAGTGACGCCGACCGACGATGACCGCGTAGGAGTTGCCTTCAACACTGTATATCGACACCAAAACTTAAATACCAGTGGGTGTGTGTGTAACGAGCGTTTTATTCTGTAGGAGTATATACATTGCCTAGTTCTAACCTCAACCGTTAATCGCTACATACCGCAGTCTTTCCTCCTACTTCCCTTGATCACGCCAATAGGAATAAAACCCAAGCGGGAAGCTTGGCTTGACTCCCTTAGTTTAGTGTGACCACAGGTCACCAGAATACCTTAGTTCCTGACAAATACTAGATGCGAATACTATCGATTACTATAGCTAATCCGTCCCGCGACATCCCGACCCCCTGTGAAGCAGCCGCATTCACCACATCCAGTACGGCTACTTGGAGACCGGACACATCATAAGCTTGGATCGATCGTCGCTGGCCACACGCACCGCCGCTCGCCGTGACACTCCGTCCACTCCGGTGTACACCTCCTCCACGATGCCTCGCCTCCATTCTCTACTTGGTATGGCTGGATCGCATACGTACACGAGATCTCCACGACGCATTGGCTCAACGTGCTCGCACCACTTCTCCCTGCGTTCAAGCGTAGGTAGGTACTCATGTACCCAGCGTTTCCAGAACCGATCTCTCATCATCCGGCTGACCATCGTCTCCTGGAAGGTCCGGTACGCCGGCCGCTCCTTTCAGCAGGTCGTTCGGTGTCAATGGGGCTTCCTGATCCACCGTGACTGGCAAGTGGGTGAGCGGACGCGAGTTGACAATGTTTTCCGCCTCAATCAGGAACCTTGCCAGGACGTGCTCCTTAGGGGTCACCTACTTCACGGTATGCACCAACACCTTCTTGACGCACTGCGCCATTCTCTCCCAGACGCCTCCCTCAGCTGGGTTCGCCGGGCAGTTGAAGATTCATTCGACTCCTCTGGACGACATTTCGCCCTGGATCTTCTCCGGTTCGAAAACCTCGTCGAATTTTCTGGCCTCTCTGTCAGCACCGACGAAATTCTTTCCATTATCGCTTGTCATCCTGACCACAGGTCTACGGCGGCACATGAAGTTCCTCATCGCGATGATGCACGAATCTGTCGACAAATCATGTGCCATTTCCAAGTGGATGGCTCTTGTAGTTAGGCAAGTGAATAGTGCGACCCACCTTTTCTCCATTCGTCGTCCAATCGTCACCATCAGCGGCCCCAAATAGTCCAGGCCGGTATACTTAAATGGCCATACATCGGCCTCGAGCCGGTCCTCTGGCAGGGGACCCATCATTGGCTGTCTCGGTCGCGCTCTTCGTAGTTTGCAGATGTAGCAATTGGTTACCACCCTCCGTTGTAACATTCGCAAGTTGGTTATGCAGAACCTCTTCCGGATCTCGCATATGGTCGCATCCAGGTTTTGATGCCGCATCTTATCGAGGTAGTGACTGACGATCATCTCTGCCAGTGCATGTTTGTGCGACAGTATGATCGGGCACCGCGCGCTGAATGGCATGCTTGCGGCCGCATAGATCCTTCCACACGCGCGTATGACTCCATCGTCGTCGACGTAATTGGCTGTCCTTTGTGACAGTTTCCTCAGCAAACACCTCACTTTGCGCCCGCCGGATCAGCATGCGCTCTGCCTCGGTACACTCAGCCGCAGTTAACCCGTACTCGTCGCTCTTTTCATGGTGTCCGCGACACCGTCGGATAAGCCGGAGGACCTAGGCAGTGGTTCTGACCAGTCTGTTGTAGCTCGAGAACCTCTGCAAAGATATGAAGGTGTTTGCTATAACCAGCGCAAACTCACATGGATTCTCTTTTTCATCCGCGGTTCGCGGGTAGCCACCATCACCCGAAGAAGATTTCGGCCACTCGTCCTCAGGTTCCCGTAGAAAGGAAAGCCCACTTAGCCAACGTGATCCTTGATCCAGATCCACGTGGATTTGCGGCCGCGTCGCATCGTCTGCCACGTTTTCGGCAGACGGTATCCATCTCCATTGGGATACTTCTGTGGACTCCAAAATCACCGCCATCCGGTTTTCAACGAACTGCTTGTATAGCCAGTGGTTGCTGCTTATCCAGTGCAGAGCCGTTTTGGAGTCGCAGAGTACGCAGCTGCTGATCGATACACTGTGCTCCCTTTTCACAGCGTCCATCAGTCTCGTATCCAGTACGGCTGCTTGAAGTTCCAGTCGTGGTATCGACATGGTCTTCATCGGAGCACATTTAGTTTTGGACCATACAAAATGTGCCTGCACGTCGTCGTCATCATATGTGGCTCTCCAGAAAGCCACCGCAGCGAACGTAGATTGGCTTAAGTCCACGAAGACGTGTAGCTGCAGATACCGCACGCAGCCGACGCCAAAGTAGTGGCGCGGACATCGGAATCCTCTCACGTGGCTCATCTCCAGCCGCCAGCTCTCAAACGTTGTGGCCAATTCGTCTGGCAACGGCTCG